CATGTGTGTCTGTATGAAGTAGGTAACTAGGAGAATCTAGCATGTCTGTCTGTATGAAATCGTAACTGACACTTCTGCTGGCTCTTGTGCTCAAGTGGCTGTTGTAGAAATTTTTAATTCCAACCTGGGATTTCTACCCTACCCTTGACCCTTTAGTTCCCAGATAAAAGACACACACAGCCTTTATATTTACAGTAAACCTTAATCAGCACAAGAGCTGGGCAGACATCTACCCTCTGTGCTGTTAGAATCTACTTTCCTATTGATAACCCTGAGTTACTACTCACTATGTTTCGTCTGGGCTGCTCTTTACTCCAACTGGGCAGCCCTCAGGGCCGTGTTTTTATGGCTCACCTAACCCTTGGCGGTTTCTTCTTCCTCCTCCTACACATTCTTCTCCTTATGGTCCTCCTCCCAACCCAAGCCCATGAAACCTAAACCACATCTATGTCTCTTCTGCCCAGCTATTGGCTGTTGGCGTCTTTATTTACCAATCAGAAATAACTTGGAAGCAGGCTCACTTAGCTGTGTGCAAACAGTCTTGAGGGCCCAATATTAGCATTAGAATACAAGCAGCAACAGGTACTCCACTGCAAGCAGACATCTTCTCTGCTGCCCTTTTCTCCTCGTGGGAAGACACTACTCTGTCTACTGAGCAGCCGATCACTCTAGCACACACACTAAGGCTTGTCAATCTCTCTGGTCCTCACTTTTTCTTGCTACCATTTTTGATTTGGGGACAATAGACAGCGTAGGGTAGATTGCTATAGTACATGTTAAAATTCAAGGCTCTTGAAAGGTAGTGCCTAGTTTTTCTACCCATCTGTTTCCAGACCTTAGGTATGTTTTGAGACCTTCTGAGCCACTGATAGCCAATGAAGGGACTGTGTGTTCTAATTAGACTTTTTTTTTTTTTTGGTCAACTTGACCCAAGACCCCACCGTGATCTGGGAAGGAGGAACATCAATAGATGCCTTCATCAGACTGGCTTGTGGGCAAGTCTGTGGGGGCATTTTCCCAGTTAATGATTGATGTAGGTAGGTACGGCCCATTGTGGGCAAGCCAGTAAGAGTGTTTCTCCGCAGCCTCTGCTCCAGTTCCTGTTGAAATAATTATTTTTAAACGGCCACCTGTCAACCTACTATCTATGCTTCGGCGGCTCTGCTTAGCTCAGCCACTATGTTTTTCGGCCGGAAGCTACTTGCATGCTGCAGCTAGAAATGGCCAGCCCTGCCACCCACAAATTGTCAGAGTGGGAGATGGCTCTGCCAATCTTCCACACTGTCTCCGTAAGGCTGGGCATTGCCCAGACTATCCTGCCATCCATGCAGGCCCAGTAATAAAATAAGACTCTAATGCTCAAAGATTAATCAAAGGCTTTATATGTTTGGGAAAGCTCTATAACAATATGCCCATACAAAGAGAGTTGTTTCCCAATTAGCTAACCTAAATAATAGTTGTTACTCGGGACTGCTCTCCGTATCTGCATAGCTTTCCATCCTCCTACATCCCTGCTCCCCAATTCCTCCTCTTCCTTTTCCTCTTCCTTTTCCTCTTCCTCTCCCTACTCCTCCTCTTCTTCTCCTTACTCCTCCCACTTTAGCTCCTCCTACAAGTTCCTGTCTGCAGGGCCTTGCCCTGGCCTCAGTGATGGTTGATGAGCAGGACCTGTAAGCCTGATAAACACTTTCCTCCCCAAGTTGAGAGATCTTACATGGGAACTACATCTAAAAATACACAATACCATTGCACAGACCCTGAAAAACAGAAGCCAGCCTTCCAACCATTCCTGTTACAGCACAGTGGGAGACTGTGGTTTTGAGGTTTCAAAAGCCCACCCGTGTGTGAAAACAGGAGGGACTTCATTCTGAGGAACGGGGACTAGACAGAACTTAGCATATCTATTCTTCCTCTAAGACTCAGTTACCCCATTTCTCAGTTACATGCTTTTCTGGTAACACAATCCTTATATAATTTTAACCAAGTGGTTTTGGGTCAGTGTTTGTCCCAGGAACAGAAGGCAAACTAAGGCACAGTGCCTCCCTTTGCAGAGCCAGCAGGTCACATCCAGATGGGACCAGGTCATTGGCAAGTGAAAGGCCCTCCGCGGTCAGCTGTTCTGTCTTATGGGGACATGGGCACTGGAGACTGTGTCTGCCTAGGATCCCCTCCCTCTCCCAGGCTGTTACTGGGAGCTTCGCTGGCTGCCTGCACTCAGCTCTGACCTTGGCACAGTAGAGATTTCAGAGTCCTTTACATAACCATCTCTCCATTTGCTGAGAAGAGCAAATACAGCTTTGAGCTTGGAATACTTTTTAAACAAAATGCTGTTTTTCGGTCTGATATGTCACAGATGAGAAATGGAGGATAGACAGAGGAGAAAGAGGATGGATTGGTGGGAGACCAGTGAGAGCTGTGTTCACAGCATCCCGCAGAGGACAGGGATGAGAAGAAGAGCAGGTGACACCTGCCAGACAGTCCCTAGCTCCCCTGTCACTTGCCTCACCTCCTGTAGACACACATCTGTAAGGAAAGCACAAGAGAAAAGATTGGGAATTATTCAGCAAGCCGTAGATGCTATGTGGTCATGCCTGTTATGGTTCAGCGAGGAGACAGCGTGTAATCCAACAGAGAAATGCGTTTCTGTTTGTTCTGTGCTCTGCTGGAGGTCTGTGTGGTGGCTGTGCTGTTGGGCAAGGATTCAAAGAACTAGAATTTCAGAGCCTAGGTCGGACAGTGTTTCTACTCTGCCACTTCAAGGTGAGTGGTCAGAACAAACTAGGAGCCCTTGGGCCTACCATTCAATGACTGAAGAAAGCACACAGACTCAGGAGTTAAGTGTCTGTGACTGAGGAGAGCAGACTCTCGGGTAAGGCGATCTGGCCACTGCCTTGCTTAGCAGTTGTCGTCTGCCTCTGTTTTCAATTGAATTCAAGTCTTACACTGATGTCTCTTATACAGTAAGCATGCTACTCCACACTCTCGGCCTAAAATGTGTCAAGACTATGTCTTGTAGAATCAGACTGTCTTTTTCCTGAAGGATACACCCCCACTTCCACCAGTTCAAATGACAAGTCTGAGGTGATGTAACTTCTCAGTGACATGCCTGATAATGCTCTTTTGTCCTTGTCTTTGGGGTGGTGGTTGTTGTCTGCCTGTTTGTTTTGGTTTCTGGCCCTGCAATTCTGCCTCAGCCTCAAAGGTTCTGAGATTCCAAGCTTGGCTCATAAGTTTCTTTTTATAGAGGCACTGATATATGAAAGAAAGAGTGATGGACCTCCACCCACAGTTTTTCTCACAGTGGGCTTGAGAAAGTCATTGAGCTCAGTACCTTAGGGCAGGTGTACTGAACTCACTGCCCTACTATGTTGGTCTAAGCTTGTTACCATAGTGTGCCCTGTGCATTGGCTTTAGAGTGGTGTAGTGAGCTCAGAGTCCTGGGGTAGCACGTTGAATGCATTCCTTTTGTAGGCTGGTGCAGCATGATTGAACTCAACTTCAAGGATGCGTTTGACTCCTTCGAGAGGCTGAAGAACGAGTCCAGGTGGTCCCAGTGTTACTACGCATATCTGACTGCAGGTGAGTGACTGTCCTGTGTGTGGCCAGTGAGCACCCACATCCTGGCAGGTGGAGAGGAAGAGGAGGAAGCAGAGACCCCAGTTTTCAGTTCCTCCCCTCGTCAGTGTTTGATGCAGCTGACACTGTCAAAGTGTGCAGAGCAGGTTCTTCTTTCCCCCAGCTGATTAGAGAATTTAAAGGAGATCTTAGAGAGACCCTGTCAAGCCACTATATGATACCTGGAAAATTTGGATCCCTTCCTGGGGTTCTTACTGTCATTAGTAAAAAGACTTAAGAATAGAGTCAGATGAAGTTCTAGGATAATTTATTTGAGTTGAAAAGAAAACCCCAAGGGTGGACTGGCTGGGATTCTGCCAGCTGCCCAGGGAGAGGGTGGAGGAAGGAAAAAGAAACAGCCATGCTGCTTGAGAGATGTTAGCACAAAGGTGGGACTCAGAGGTGGGCAGCCACTCTTAGGAAGCAGGGCTTCAGAATAAAATTAGGAAGCCCAAAGTGCCAGAGTTTAAAGAATTACCTAGCCTCTCTCCAGCATCCAGAAACTGACCCAGGAGGAGAAAAGGGTAGTTAGTACCTTCGTGAGTTGAGTTCCTGCTGAGCCTCACCTCTTGGCGAGTAGTAGGGACTACACAAGTGGAGTGGGGATTCTGGGGAAGAAAAGTACATTGTCTTTAGATGGTCCCACCTTCCTGAGGGTGGTCCCTTAGCCAAGGCCTTGACCTTCACCACTGGGACAGCTCGTAAGTGGGCATGTCTCCCCTACAGGCAAATGTGGTTCTTCCCTGTAACCAGGTAAAAGAGACAGAAATGCCCAGAGGCCCGGCTGGATGCCAAGAAGTCTAGGGCTCTGACCACACACTCCAGTCCTACTGGTTTGGTCCTTAGGGATGCTCCTGAGAGGCTGTTTCACTCCCAACAGTCTCTGCACCTCTCTTTACCCTTCTTCTTTTTCTTTGTGGTGTTTTTAACATTTTTTTTTAGATTGATTTACTTATGGGTGAGTGCTGCTTCTATGTACACCAGAAGAGGGAATCATATTTTATTACAGGTGGTTGCTGGGAATTGAAATTGGGATCTGTGGAAGAGCAGTAGCCAGTACTCTTAACCTCTGAGGCATCTCTCCAGCTCTCTGATGTTTTTATTAGAATTTTAAAGTGTTCTCCAAAATTGGATGTGTCTTTCTCATTATGTGAGTTTTTAGTTTATGCTGTGCTCAAAGTTCGCAGGATTTGCTCCAACCCTGGTTTACCAAGTCCTATGGGAGCTTGTGGTCATCCCAGAGCTCAGAGGCCTCTATGCTGCACATCATTACACCAGAGACCGTGTGGGGCGGGGTGGGGGGGGTGGCTTTTGTGTTTGAAAGCTCTTAGATGACATAGTTGGTGTTGTGCTGCCACCTGGTGGACAAAGCTGTTGTCTGTCTCTGTGAGCCACAAATGTCTCCGAAGTTTTGAGGACATTTACAGATTATAATTATAGACTATAATTACAATTATAGATTATAGAGGTGCAGAACTGAAGAAACAGGAAGGTGGATCTGTGGTCTCCTGCCTTCCAGTGACCTGTAAAGGTCTTCAGGTTTGCTCTGTGTAGGCAACATCAGAAATGGTTCTCTTACCTAAAACTCAAGAGAAACATGAACACTTACTTGTCTTAATGCTGGGAATCAAACTCAGGAGCTTGCTATGTCTTCCCATGGACTACACTCAGGTACCACTCGGTACTGCAGACATTATCATAAACACCTCTTTATTCCTTTGAACATTTGGCTTCAGTAGGACATCACTTTCATTCAGTTCCATTCCCTTAATTCATCTAAGACAGGATCTGCATCAGCCAGGCTGTGTGTCCTGGGCATCTTAAAGATCCTATGAAATCACATCGGAGAGCAGTCAGTGTGTATGCCTCATGCCTGTGTGCTTATGCGATCTCTGCGGGGTGTCCCTTTCTCATGCCTCTGTGTGTGGTGCTAATTATTTCTGATATGTGGGTTGGTATGTTATGTCTCACACTTTCACAATTTGCCAGCATCTTGGATTAAAGTAAGAGCTACTTACTGGTAGGTATTAGCATGTCCAACACTTTGAGAAGTAAGTGGTCCTCAACTGTATAGCATGGAAGGATGGATACAAGGAAGCCAGTGGTTGGGAGGTGTTGCTGGTCTTGCAGGCAGGCAGCATCTGTTTTGGGGTGTCCTTTTTCTTGGGCATACAAGAAATGAGCGTGTGTGATCGCTGTATGACCAAACACTTACTTCCCAGATATTTAGAAGTGTCCAACTGCATGAGTTGTAGTTTCGAGAGCAGGGTCCTCATTTCTGTCTCTGCAGGGGCTGTTGGAGGGGCCAGGTGTGAGCACACGAGGAGAGGAGTGCTTGGTGAGAGAGGTGCCTTGTAGGGTTGTGTTTGAGTTGTCTGTGAAGGAAACTGAGCTGACCAAAAGGGACAATGCCCAGCACTGTGACTCTGGTTCCCATTTCCCATTCTCTCGTGATAACACACACAGCTTCCCTGCTGTTCTCAGCAGTTCTCACTGCCTCAGCACCGCTTGGCTGCTACCACCATGCATCCCAGAACTTCTAGAAGGTTCCCCATCAGAAATCTAAACACTAACATTGCCTCCTCCTCCACCCCTGCTCTGCATTCTGTCCCCAAATTCAACTGCCCTGTGGCTCACATGAGCCCAAAGGCTGGTCCATATTGTGACCTGTTCCAGCGTCTTTGTTATTTTTCAAGCTGAATAAAGCTCCATCCATTGCATGGCCTGTGCCCGCCAAGCCTTGTTTACCCACTCATCCACCAGTGGACAGTTGTATGAGTTTGACTTTGCCATGTACTGAGAACACTGCTGTACAAATGTAAACCTGAGCCCTTGCTTTCAGCTTCTTGAGAATATCTGAAAACAGAACTGCTGGATCGGACCCTCTTATTGCAGTGTTTCAGAAACATTGAAATTATATAAGGATTGTGTTACCAGAAAAGCGTGTGACTGAGAGATCGGGTGACTGAGTCTTAGTGGAAGAACAGATATGCTAAGTTCTGTCTAGTCCCCGTTCCTCAGAATGAAGTCCCTCCTGTTTTCACACATGGGTGAACTTTTGAAACCTCAAAACCACAGTCTCCCACTGTGCTGTAACAGGAATGGCTGGAAGGCTGGCTTCTGTTTTTCAGGGTCTGTGCATTGCTGTTGTGTATTTTTAGGTGTGGTTCACATGCACGGTCTCTCTTTATCTCATCAGTTTGTCTTGGTCACTGTTTGGGTGCTGTGAAGAGACACCACGATCATGGCAACTCTTATAAAAGAAAGCATTAAACTAAGGGGCTCACCTACAGTGTCAGAGGTCGTCATGGTGGGAAGCATGGCAGCAGGCAGGGGTGGGTTGGGGAGAGAGGGGCCAGAGGAGAGAGTGGGCCACAGGATGGGGTCAGCTGGATGGCGCCATCTTTTGGACATGACTTGTTTGCATCCTTTCCCTGGGAACCATGGAGACACAATTCTGATGTTTTGCAGTTTGTCAGGGAGCCGCGGGCGATGTGGATGGGGCACAGCTCGTTTTTAAAGAAGTCCAGAAGCTGTTCAAAAGGAAGAACAACCAGATTGAGCAGTTCTCAGTGAAAAAGGTATGTGTGTCAGAGCCTGTCACCCATGGGCAGGGCTCACGACAGTCGGGTAGAACTAGCACCTCCCTGGATAAGGTTCATATCCTGTTAGGCATCTCTTCCTGTGGCCTTGCTTCTGCTCTGAGGAGAAAGGCTGCACCTAACTACAGCAGGGCTGGTTTGTTTTTAAATGAGATATCCTGAACCCTGACAGCTAATGAGCCCTCCTGGAAGGAGGAAGTGTCTGTCTGAAGTGCAGGCCACTTCAGAAGTTGGAAGAAGTCATGAGACAGATGGCCCTGCTTTCCATAATGGTGACAGCATCACATTCTGATGGAATAAAGACCAAAAGTGGTGTTGCATTTATCAGTAGAAATCTCAGGACTGTGGGGAAGTGGCCCAGTGTTGTTGCCTATTTCTGACGTTAAGATACGGCCAAGTATCTTACCTCAAGTGATCTCGAATTACCCTGAGTAACCGAGTGACCTGGAGTGATGGTCTCCCTTCTCATAGCTTTATTTTTCCTTCATTTTTTGTTTTATAAAATTTCTTTTACTCCAAAAGGTTTTAAAAGTTTAATTAGTTTTTTTTAGATAAATAATTAATAAAATTTATTCCAACATAAAATAGGTGATAGAGGCTGCAGAGATGCTTGGCTCTTAGCGTACGTACACTCCTGGTTCCTAGCAGCCTGGCAGCCTGGCAGCCTGGCACAACAGCCTGTATCTCCAGCTCCAGAGAATATAGTGCCATCTTCTGCTGCAACAGGAACCTTCAAGTCTACCCAAGTGCACATTCTCTTTCTGTCCCTCCCTCTCCCATTCCCCTCTCCCCCTCCCTCTCCCCTTCCCTTCCCCCCTCCCCTTCCCCTCTCCCCCTCCCTCCCCTTCTTCCCCTCCTTCCCTCTCTCCCCCTCCCCCTCTCCCCCTCCCTTCCCCCTCTCTCACACACATACACACATACACACACACACACACACACAAGTAAAAATCAAAAGTAAAATAAATCTTTAAAATAAATAGATTACACAGATGGGAATGTGGCTCTTGATACTAGGCTATTTGCCCAGCACATGACAGGCCCTGAGTTTGGTTCTCCTGTACCAAAAACATAGATAAATGCATAAATAAGATTCTATTATAATACAGAGTGCAGCTGAGAGCCCCAGGACGAAGTTGCTTAAAGTCTGTGGGACATGATGGAAATGTGTGCTCTGACTCAGTCAGTTGGCGGAGCTTCATGGGTTTGAACTGAGTCTGCGTTCTAAGAACCCAGACACCCAAGACTTGGCTGAATAATGGCTGTGAGATACAACCTTAAATATATTTAAAGAATGAAACTGGAGAGTGTTTTAAACATGGAGAGGCTTCATAAGTGAGGGCTCTTCACACGGACCTTGCACTGTGATGTGTTTCCAAAGTGCAGCTTGTTATTCGGGTTTGCTTTTGAAGATCAGGGCGTAATACTCCAAGAATTCCTTGCAGGCTGAGCGATTTCGGAAGCAAACCCCAACCAGGGCGCTGTGTGTGCTGGCCTCCATTGAAGTGCTGTACTTGTGGAAAGCCCTTCCCAACTGTTCCTTCCCCAACCTGCAAAGGATGAGTCAAGGTAAGCATGCTTGCCCGGGCAGTCAAGTGACCCATCAGGGCAGCTTCCCCAGTCCCTCATGCTGTGGTAAACAGTGTGTCATTGGCGACAGGAGTGGGATAGACTTCAATTCAAGAACAGGCTGAGCTACATGAGACCCCTCTCAAAAGACAAAAGGAGCAAAATGGTGCCAGTTCTAGTAAGTGGGTGGGTGTGGGGTGTGGTGAGCGCATAAGTGTGATTTGCATGTGTACATGAAAGGGTCAGGGAGCAGAGTGTCTGGATCACTGAACCGGGGCAGTGTGCACAGCTCAGAACACTTGCACTTCCTGTACTCCTCAGGACTCCCCAACTCAGCACAGACAATTCTGAGCTGTGCCCATGGGTAGTGTGCCTGTCTTTGACCTGAGCTGTGCCCATGGGTAGTGTGCCTGTCTTTGACGTGAGCTGTGCCCATGGGTAGTGTGCCTGTCTTTGACCTGCACAGAGGTAGAATCATATGAGATGTATTATGTGGTGTATGCTTCCTTCGTGAAGCCGCATGTCTGTGGCATTTGCCACACAGTAGCATTTACTAGTAGACCATTTATTTTCCTAGCTGCGTAGTATTCCACTATGTGAACATCAGAACCGCTCTCTGCTTCTCTACTCTCCTGTTGATGGACATTTGAGATGTGTTTTAAGCTGTCTTGACTAAAGCTGCTGTGAATGTATATATTATGGGAGTTTATGGGCCTTTTATTTCCAGGTAAATATGTAGCCATGTAATTAAAGGCTACATTTTTTCGGCTCTTGAAGTTGAAAATATATAGGCCTATAGGTAATCTTGGTAAAACTATTTTTATTATGGTAGAAACATTTCCCAGGGAGAACAAACTATATGCTCATATTCATATTCAGTGGGGCTCTATCATTAGTTAACCAATAATGGCAGCTTACAAAGCCTCCGCAGTCAGCATGTGAGCAGCATTCTGTGGTCTACAAAGCTGTTTTCTCCACACCACAGCCTCAGAAGACGGGGAGGCAGTAGTATTACTGTGCCTGTCTGTAGAGAGGAAGCAGGCTCAGATCAGCAGTGACCTCTGACCCTAGGAGCTGACCTCAACACCATGGGTCTGAGAAGCATGTTGCACTGAGTATCCTCCGTGCAGCCATAACTTTCTGGGAATTTGCAGAGGCTTGTTTACACTGTTGCAAGTACAGCAGCGAGTGAAAAGCTGGGCATGAACCTATAACCCAGCTCCTGAGATCACATGACTAAGGCCAGTCATAGCTACACAGAGAGACCCTGTAGAGATTTACAGTAGGCAGCTCCAGAAATAGATGGTAAGCTACTACAGGAAGTTCTTGAGATTTCATGCAGCCACACCTGGCCAAATATGAGATTATTCATTGAGTCACAGATAATCTTTAGACAAGACTTTACTGTAGGTGTTTCTCTCTGTCTCTCTGTCTCTGTCTCTCTGTCTCTGTCTCTGTGTGTGTGTGTGTGTGCCCGCCCGCGCACACACACATGTGTGCATATATGCTTAGAGGCCAGGAGATGCCCTTGGCTGTTACCCTGTCTCCATCCCCCATGCTGGGGTTGTCAGCACCACCACCATGTCTCATTCTGGGGATCAAACAATGGGCCCTTGCCCTTTAACTAAATGACCTCTCTTCCCAATTCAACTTTTGTTTATTCTTTAAAACAAACAAACGAACCTCTCTACTCTTAATGGTCAAATGCGAATCTTCCTCGGTGCCTAGTACAGTGTAGTATATAACCACAACCAAAGTGTCTATTGCATGGCTTTGTAGTTGGTATAATGCAGGTTTTTATATTAATAGAAGGTTTGCAAAGGTTTGAGATTCACACCAGAATTGGTCACAAAGTCTAGAACACCCCTGTACACACACACACACACACACACACGCGCGTGTGCACACACACACACATGCATGCACGTACGCACACATCCTCCTTCATACTCTATGACCCCCTCACACATCCTGTAACACTGTGATGCATTTGTTGCCATGGATGAAGTAGCATTATACAGTACAGACACCAAAGCCTCTGTGCGTGGAGTGTGGGCTCACACTGCATGTCCTGGTATTTGTGCAAGTGTCTAATGGCACAGGCTCTCTCAGTACCTTACACAAGACTTCCATCACTGCCCTAACCATCCCTCCCCACATCCCTCTTGTCCTTCTCCCTTGTAACTACTGATAATGTCCTGTCTGCACGACTTTGTCATTTCGAGAATAACATGTAGTTGGAAGTCAGATTAGCTTCCTTCTCCTAGTGAAAGGTGGACTCTGGGGTTGACAGTTTTTGCTAAGGAGATGACTCAATCTCAGGAGTGTTCGCTGTGCAGGCATGAGGACCGAGTTTCACCTTCAAGAAAAAAGAAAAGCTGTAGCGGTGGATGCTTGCTGTCTGCACGCTCGCTGTCCGCAGTGCTGGGAATATGCAAACACTAACCAGTGCCAGGCCTCTGAGACCCTGTCTTGGAAAACAAGGAAAGCAGGGTCTGCAGAATGACACTGAAGATTCATCTCTGGCCTCCACACACATACACCTGCACACAGGTACACCTGCACTCTTGTACACCTGCACACAGGTACACCTGCACACATGTACACCTGCACACAGGTACACCTGCACACAGGTAC